AAAAAGAGACTTCTGAAACATTCGGAGAGAAATGTTTATTAGAAGAGGAATTTTTTATTTTTTTGCCCAATCTTCATTCCTTTATCCGGTAGAATTCGAAATAAGGCACCGTTTGATATGCCAAAATTTTTTAGGGAAAGTGGAAAATCAATTCCAACTTTGAATTTTAAGGGTGTTTGATACCATTTTTTTTCCCATAGAATTACATTTTCTAACTTTTTTTGGGAATTGAAGTTTTCTTTGTTTTGAAGGAAAAAAGGAAATTGGTTTTCCCAGTTTACTGTAACACTTTTTTTTTTGTTTGCAGTGGAAACAAAATTTAAGATTTATTATAAAAAAATATTTCTTTAATTGACAATTTTCATGTAAAACAAGGTCAAACGAATACCCAAAGATAGATGATTTTCTTTTTTTTTATTTTGGCAATGAAAACAAATTTTATTCCCAATACCAATAATTTATATCCCTTTAATTGACAATTTTCATATAAAACAAAGTCAAACAAATACAAAAGCACTTTAATTTAAACATTTTTCACGTGAAAAATTATACCAATCAAACACAATAATTTACAATTCTCCGGCAAACAATTTCCCATCAATTTAATTCCCTGAAATTTATTTTCTTTCCACCCAAATTTTACCTTTGCAATCAAACAAACCCTCATAGTTTTAAAGAGTGAAAGTTGTAAGAAATTTTGAAAAAATAGCAAAAGAACAACGAATTTGGTCAGTTGAAAATTACAATACAAATTAAACTACACTTAAGATGTGTTTAATTGCAAGCATCGAAATTGCTTGAAAAGAAAATAAATTTTAAGCTATTGAATTACGTAGAATTTATTTGTACGGAATAAATATATTTTATTGATTTAGTTTTCAACCTATGAATATCATACTTATTCATTTTTATTGGTGAATAGACGAAAGAGAAATGATAAATAAGAAAGAGAAAAAAGATAGTGAATTACTTGGAATATAAAATCACCAAGAAAATGTTTTCCTCGCTTTTTAGGAAAATATGGTCATACAACCACAAGTTGAAAAATATTTTTCATGGAAAAATTTTAATGAAACACCCCAAAAATAAGAATTTTGGTGAAAATATGACATTTTTCATGAAAAATAAAGCCAATCAAATAAACTCTTAAATCTCCCATAACCTGCTATTCAAAAATTGACAAGCACTGATTTTAAGAACATATCATAAACAACATCATTCAAAAATTATAATCTATATCTATGCCCCTGTTTGGTGCTGATTTTTCAAACCAAAAAATTAATTTTTTTTTAACATTACTTAATATAGTCAGTCGTCATTTTTGACTATTCACTCACACGTGAGACCTGCCTTTCAAGCTAAAAATTAAAAAATTGATTTTCAAAATCAGAACCAAACAAGCTCTATATCTATAATCTATTAAATATCACATCAAATGAACAATCTTTTTTAAATGATTTTAACCCTACTACAATTCAATTATTTCAATAATACATTACTTTTTGTTTTTCAATATGTAATAAATACTACAAAATCCTTGTCATGTATGAATTTCGTGTTATTAATTCTCATTTAATTAACATTCATATTAATCTAAACTCAATATATCTTGACTTGATGAATCTAAAGTTATTATAGATGAATTTATTTCTATTCACGTATATATAAATTTTAGTGAGTGTCTAAATTCGTGTATTAGCAATATTTAATACTTATGTACCAAATGTAGCATAAAAAAGTTGCTTATATATAGTATTTCATCATTGTGAAAAAATTGAATAATCAAAATTGATTTTTGAGTGTACAAATTTTTTTACCTTAATTTCCATCATATTTTTTTTTAATTCATTTGAAACTCAACACCTCAAAACAAATAGGTATCAAGCATTACTTTTATGGATAATTAACACAAAACGTTCGTATCTTTCATTTTTTGGTACTTTCACTTCTATTTTTCACATTTCATTGCAGAAAAATGTCATTTTTATCTAATTTCTTAATAAAAAATTTAAATGACAAATATACCATCCTATTTTAAATTAAAAAAACAAAAATTAAAGAACAAATTGTAATTGTACTCACAAAATTTTTAAAAAATTGCAAACGAATCCAAATAAATTACTAAATGGTAATTAACACAAAACGTCTCTACTGTTCGATTTTATAGTGCAAAAAGCTTATACCTTTATTTTTTGGCATTTTCATCAATATTTTCACATTCCACTGCCAAAATCATCATTTCATTTATTTTCTTACTTAAAAGCTGTAAAATGGTGAATATATCCTCCTATTTAAATAAAACAAAAATAAAGGAAAGAAAAATAAATAATAAATTGCCACTATACCCCCCCCCCCCCCAAAATTAAAAAAAAAATCAAATAAATTCCAAATAAGTAATTTTTTTTAATTTATTTGTTTTTAATTATTTATTTAAAATTTATTTGTAGTTTTTTGAAAAAATTGAAAGTATACTTGCAATTTGTTCTTTATTTTTTTTTTCTCTATTTTTGTTTTATTTAAATAAAGGGGATATTCGTTATTTTACAACTTTTAATTGAAAAAATAGATAAAAATGAAGATTTTCACAATAAAATGTGAAAATAAGGGTGAAAATATCAAAAATAAAGGTATGGACATCTTGCATAATAATATTGAAAGGTATGGATTATTTGTGTTAATTACCCTTAAAAATTTGGTTGGACTCATTTGCAGTTTTTAAAAAGTTTGGGAGTATAATTTCAATTTGTTCTTTAATTTTCATTTTCTTTTTTTATTTTATTTAAACAGGATGGCAGATTTGTCATTTTACATTTTTTTTATTGATAAACTAGATGAAAATGATATTTTTCCGCAATGAAATGTTAAACGGGAATGAAAATGTCAAAAAAGGAAATATATAAACGTTTTACACATTAACATTAAAAGATAAGTTCATTTTGTGCTAATTACCTTACTTTTATTTTTTATTTTACTTATAAATTATTTTAGAATAATGTGTAACGCACGTTCAAATCTAATTAATACAATCAAAATCGGTGAAAAACTCGCAACCATGCCATGGTATTTATTTTCTTTTCCACCGAATTTACCTCTCACCAAACGGACCCTGACCGGCTCGTCCGGTGACTGAAACCAAAGTACACATTTTCTCTCTTTACCTCGGTCGTAAATACTCTTGAAGTTGCTTTAAATTCTTCTTCTCTCGACTCCTCGATCACCGATCACTCGTTATCGTCAAGGTACGATTTTTTGATAAAAACTTATTTTTATCAAAATAAGTTTTTATATAGAAAAACCTCTAATTGAAATTTTGTTTTCTAAATTCTTAGCTTAATATTTGTAGCGCGTGCTTAATTTTGCAGAATATTGATATACTGATATCGTTATTTTCTCGTCGAACGTAATTTCTTAGTATATTGTTAGAAAATGTTTAATCCGTGCTCTAATTAGGTTATAATTTTGTTTGTATTAGCTGTTTTCTGGATATTATTTAATTCATATTTGAACAGTAGCTCCTTTTTTAATTTAGGAATTTACGTCGCATCTATGGTTATTATTTTTACGTTGAATTGTTTCTATATAATAAAAATTGGAGATTGAAGATAATAACAGTTAATTGATGAACACGTTTTCCTAATTTATATTCACTATTGACTTTATTTGTAGCCTTGTTATGCTTCTAGTTATTAACTCAACAATTTTTTATTGTCTGTCATTTTATTTTAGTTTTCGTAATTTATATTCACCATTGACTTTATTTGTAGCCTTGTTATGCTTCTAGTTATTAACTCAACAATTTTTTATTGTCTGTCATTTTATTTTATTTTTTTAGTTTTTTACTCATTAAGCGGCAACTGAAAAATCATTCCAAGATTTCATAATATAATCGCAACTTCTATACAACAATGAAATTCCACGCATATGAAATTTATTTATTTTTGTTAAATCAGTTGTATGTTATGCACATATTTAAATTTGTAATTGCCTCATCAATCTGTAGTGCAATGGCTATTCTAATGCAAGGATCTACCATTGTCTAGGTGCTGGAATCAATGAAGACCAGCAGCAGGAGTAAAGGGACTGTGAGAAAGGAAACAAAAGAAGCATTGAAGCCTGTAGATGATAGGTTGGAATTTTTTGTTGTTGAACACTTTTTACCAATGTATCAGCTATATTATCCAGAATTTTATGTTTTACATTATGTTGTCAAGATTAGATGCTGATTGAGCAAGTATTGATTATGGTTAATTATAATATTGCTGGATATTGCAGTTGCAATAAATTTACAGTGATGGATTGTGTGTATCTTTTTGTTTTTAGGAAGTTGGGGAAGAGAAAGGCGGCGGTCAAGGCAGATAAAAAGCCAGCTAAGAAGGGGAAGGCAGCTAAGAAAGACCCAAACAAGCCCAAGAGGCCTCCGAGTGCCTTCTTTGTGTTCCTGTACTAAATGCTATTCTCTGGTTTCTGGTCTTGGGAGTTAACAGTTTAGCTATACTTATATAATTTGTAGCTTGTTCTGAGTTATGTCATGCTTTTATTGTAGCGAGGAGTTTAGGAAGACTTTTAAGAAGGAAAATCCTGATGTCAAGGGCGTCTCAGCCGTATGTTCTCTGTAACATTTTTATATGCCTTATTTATGAATATGTTTTGGAAATAAAAATTGCTTGGTCTTTGTATGTGCATCCGGAAGGTTGGGAAAGCTGGTGGAGAGAAGTGGAAATCCATGAGTGCAGCTGTAAGTTCTTGAAGCCCTTCTATTTCAAATTTTATGATTAAATGTATGTTTGTACATTACTACGTTATGATTTATATCCCATATTCTCACCTCTGGGCAGGAAAAAGCTCCATATGAAGCTAAAGCTGCTAAAAAGAAGGCCGAGTATGGAAGTCTTATGGACACCTACAACAAGAAGCAGGTAAGAACATCTACAATGCATTCTATGAATTTAAGCCTACGAAGATTTCCTGCCCTCGTGGCATTGATGTCTAAAGAATAGACATGAAGTTCAAATTTCATCTCTAATGTTTCCTTTCTATAAGTGAAATTTATTTAATAGGGGAGAGAATAACAAACATGAGAGGGAAAATAATAAACAAGAGAGAGAGAGAGAGTTTAAATTTGCTCCCTCACCCCATCTAACTGAGCCTCTATATCTACACGGACCTTGACAGAAAGGCATTGTCTATCTTTACTTTTGTGACATTTTATATTATGCAATGCAAATTAGCATTGGAGATACTCTAAATGCACTATCTATCTACTACCATTGCTCTCAGTTCCGTTTGGCATAGTTTTTGAAAAGTCGATAGGAACGTTAAAAAGCTACTTTTGGACATATTTGGTTAATTTTACAAAAGCGTTTCCTCTAGTTGAAGAGCATGTAGAGGAAGGGTCTAATGCGGCTTCCTCTCAAAGCACTTTCGAAATAGGAAGAACTTTTAGAAATTAATTTTTAAACAAAAATATAGGTAACTTCCTCTGGAAGCTCTTCTACAAGAAACTGAATAAAAAAACAAAAGCCATGTCAAACGGGCTTCAGTTAATCACTACTTTTTGAACTTCTTATTGATGGTATCCCTTATTATCTTGGATTTAATTGGCAGGAAAGCTCTGCTGATGAAGGTGGCGAAGAATCTGAGAGATCAAAATCTGAAGTTCATGATGACGATGATGAGAGTGGGCAGGTATATTGTACAACGTCTATACGATGTGATGATCTTGAAGAGGGTGGGTAGTAGGCAAAGGACAAGAAAATATAATTGGAATCTGACGACATACGATGTTGAAATGGCTTAGATAGTAGCAAGATTGCATTTGAACAGGCTCAAAGCCAGCAGAAGCATTAGTTTTTTTTACGTAAATGCTTTTATTAACTTTAAAAAAATAATGTCGGATAAGACAACTTTAACCTTTAAATATTTTCATCAAACAGAAATCTTAATTTAGTGTTCTCCAATAGGAAGTAGCTTAGTTTCCCCAACTGTAGGCTTTTTATCTAACTATGTTAGGGACTTGATGTGGGGAAATGATTCTTTTTTTTTCGGGACGTACATGTATAATTACATTTCATCAAGTTTGTCGAAATTCCTGCAGTCAGTTAACTAATCTGCATGATTGTGGTTTGTGCAGGAAGAGGAAGATGAGGGAGATGAGGACGAGGAAGAAGACGATGATGATGATGATTGAGGTTGGAGTCGAACTTGGGCTTTTTTTGTGTGCCTGATCGATGGCACTGATGCTGGATATGTATGCTTATACTTTTAGCTTAAGTTTGGAATCTTAATGGATTGCCCGTATCTTTTGTAATATGTATTACGTAATTCTCATGCCAGAACAACTCAAAACTCCGTGTGGGCTTGTTTGTTAGTTCTTTTACTGCCCAGCAAATTTTAAGAACATATATACATCTTACACCGTAGCTAGTATGTCGATGAACGGTTTCTTAGTTTCTAGAACTATCTATTTATTTAGCCCCAATTTGATTCCTATTCTTTTCTCATTAAAATGAAAAATATAATCGTTATTCATCACATCAAACCACCAAATTTGAATTTTTATTTCTTATATGGGGTCGGTAATAATTATATTTTTTATTTTCATTCTTCCAAAAATAAGAAACAAATGGGGGCTTAATTTTAAGCATTTTCAAAATTTGGTTCTATATTGTGTTATTTTTGGTTTTCCGGAGGGTTCATT